GGAGTTGCCTCGGCGGGCGCAGCAGGCGAGCTCACGATGGGCTCGTTACGCCGGCAGGTAGGCAGTGCCCCGGCGGCGGGAGCAGGCGGTCCAGGAATGTGCGAGGGGCGTGATGACAGCGACTGCCGCCGGGCTCCTTGCGCAAGACCTTCGCTATATAATCCCCAGCGCTGCGCTCTACCTGGGCGCCTCCTTCCGTCCCTTACCTGCCGAGGGAGCGCTGGTGAGTACCGCCGCCCGTCTCCTCCGCGTTCAAGAGCCTTCATTTACTTTCAATTTACTTAATTCTTGTAGATACCCCTCGATGGTGACCTCCAGGAACTTGGCTGGCTTTGGGCTGCAGAAGAGAAAAACATTGAATAAACCTCCCCAATTTCCAGATTCTTTTCCTTCTCCATTTTACTGCAGCTGCCGTTCTTAGACCTCCTAACCCTGGGACTAGTAAGGTCACCAATCAGCCACACCTAGGGGCTTCCAAAACTTTTTTTTTTTTTTTTTTAAAGGTGATTTGGGGAGGTAGGTCCAGCTGATGAAAGGTCCCACTGTAGGATCCAGGATGACTGGGCTGTCTGGCTGGGTCACTTGCTCACTAGCTGCAGGACTCAGGGTAGGTCCCTGTGTGCTCCTGGGCTGCAGCTTCTCCTTAACAGGAAGGGGGATGGGCCCACCTCAGCCTTTTCTGCCTTGGAAACTCCAGGCGTGGTGGCCGCCCTAATGTGAGGTCCCTGTGCGACTTCCCGCGCTTCTGTGCTTGTTTGCTGAGTTATCTAAGGTGACTGTTCCCGTCAGGGGGTGGCATCAGCGAAGGGCCTGTCCTTCAGCTGTCTTGAGCGGCCCGCGATTTCTCTGCTTTCAGAGCCAAAGTGGACCGACCAGGCTGATAGGCCAGGGAGGTGACTTACAAGGAGACGTGTAGGTTAGGGCAAGTTGAAAATGCTCAGACCAGACCAAGGTGGCATCTTGGCCGGGGCTCGTTCTGGCTGCCTGGGTGCAGATGCCCGCCACGGGTAGCTGGTACCGAGGTAAAAGCTCGAGGTGACTCTCGCAAGCAGGTTGCTGCGTGGAGGGGGCTGTGGGTTCCGTCATGCAGACTCCCCCTCTTCTCCTGGTTAAGGCAGGGGTTTCCTGCCTCAGTGGCTTTCCCTGCTCAGCGCTGCAGGCCTGTTGGGCTTTTCTTTTCTTTTTTCCCTTGCTGTTCAGTGCTGGCAGCTCTTGAACCTGTTCTTTGTGGGTCTTCTTGGAAAAGTCCTGCCCCGTGGGAGTGGCCATGGTGTTCGATTGTTCAAAGGCTGGGTTTTTTGTCCTATGCCGGCTAATAAGGATCTCTCTCTCTGTCTCTTTTTTTTGGTTGTAGTTTGGGGACAAGTGGCAAGAAGGGCATGCTTTGTGAAAGGTTTGATGCTAACCATGTGCCCCCCCCCAAAAAAAAAACCTTCCCCAAATCACCCAAGCAGCTCACCAAAAACAGGTCTCCCAGTGGTATGAGGACGGGCATCTGAGTTATCATTAGACACAAAATGGACATAAATATAGCCCAAATTCAACCTAATGAAGAAAATCGCCTTTCAGGAGCAAAATGATTTGGAATAGCCTGGATTTTAATGCCATTTTCAGCCCTCTTTTATCCTGTCGTCCTCACTCACACCCCCATCTCTCTGTTCTAAGAACAGAAGAATTAGCCATTGGACATCCCAGGGAATTAGTTCACCTCTGAATCTAAAATTGTGGAAGTGCAAAAAAGGCCTGCAAAAGAGACAGCGATGTTTACGATGTTTCTGTTTGCATGGGCAGCCCATTTAATCCCTCAATGCATTGCAGAACAATCGGCATCTTCAGGAGTTAATTGTAGGGCTTATTTGAAATCCGAATTGCAAGGGCACTGAGCACGTGGTTGGTAATGGGGCCCAAGTTTACAATGACCAGATAAAGGTCTTTACAATGCTGGCAATGCACCTCTTCAGAAGTGTGAAGGAGGGCATTCAGTGTGGGACCCAGGACGATTACTCCGTGCCCATGGCCGCCTGTTTCCAGCACACTTCCCTCCCTGCCCATCACCACCCCCCTGTCCATGGGGGTGGGAGGGTTATTTTTCCTTGTGACAGTTAAAAGAAGCTGAAGAAAAGTAGGAATGTTGTAGAAATCTGGAGTTCTTGCAATGTACAAGAAAATGTTTCGGGCGTCCTGAATATCAGACTGAGTTTGCGTGCCCTCTGGAGGTGCAGCGTCTCCGTGACTTTAAGGAATGAATGTCTCCGTGCCTCAGTTTCCTTTCTGTGGAATGGGATGATGGCATGAAAGGATACATGCGTATGGTATATTTATGCTCTGCGGATTGAGGTGAGTCCTTCTGCATGCAGGACTTCATCAGTGCCTGGCACAGAAAGCTCAGTAAACATTTGGCTGGAGACGCGCCAGACACTGTCCTCCGTGCTGGGCATCCAGCGGTCCTCCTCCCCGTGTGGTCGAGGTCACTGCCTGGCCAGAGAATGTGTGTCTGTGTCCCGGTCGCCCAGCAGGACCACTGCCAGCCTCCTGCTCTCCCCAAGATGGCCTTGGGCTGCTGCTGCCCTGAGCCCGAGCAGTCCCAGAACAGGTCCTGGTTGGAGAGGCCCGAACAATGCCGAGCGTGGGGCTTGGGTGACTGCCAGGCGCCCTACATTTCCCTGCTTCTCAAGTCTGAGAGGAGCCAAGAAGTTCCTCTCCCTGGCCTGTGAGAAAGAATGAGTTCCTCTTGGCATCGTGTGCACGTGTGGGGGCAGGAAGGGGAGCCGCGAGGGCAGGTGCACAGCGGCTAGATCGTCAAACGGTGGTGTGGGGTAGGGGGCGGATGCGCGATCTCTCTGGGCCTGGAGGCCTGATCTCAGTCGTTGTTCTCCCTCTTGGACGTTAGGACCAAGCTGCCCAAGTAGATGACCTCCCTTCTTCCTCTGCTGCTGCTGGTGGGTAGCAAGAATGTTTTGGAGTGAGGCCTTGAAGGACAGGCAGGGGAGAGGACAGCAGGGTAGCTGTTGCATCAGGGGGATTGGAGAAAGCCTTGGCAGGGGCCCCAAGGCTGCAGGGACCCTGGCGGTGCCCAAAGCACGCCCTCCGGTGGGAAGCTGTGTAGTGGGTGCCATGTCTGGGGCAGAGTGGCCTCAGCTTCTTCCTCATCCTCTGTCCACCCTTTGGTGCCACCTCTCCTGCTTGGCTGAGATGCCCGAAAGGCTTGGGCTGTGCCGAGTGCAGGTCATGGGCGTGCCAGCAGCCTGTGGGAACTCGGCAGCCTGTCATTACGGCATTCCCGGCTGGCTGAGGGACCCCGCACG